CCCTAAACCCTAAACCCTTACTCTGAGCTTAGCCAAGGAGCCGGATGAGGAGATGAGCCCCGGATCGTCCCGGCCGGAAGCCACGGGTTAATTAGGCTTTGGGTTTAGGGTTCCGGTCTTAGGCTTAGGGTTTAGGGGATTGGAATTTTTAGTTCAGGGTTGAGGGGTGAGGAGTTTCGGGTTCAGGGAGTGTCAAGATCCTGAGTTGTCGTAGGTGTTTTTGAGTGTGGCCTTGGTTCATTGATGGCTCTGGTCCACAGAGAAAGAGGCTAACCCCCAATGAGAAAAACGTCAGGTTTGGGTGTGCCCCCCAAAGTTCCTAAAGCTGTAGATTTTTTGGTGGTGGGGTACCCTAGAACATGAGTCCTGAGTCCTGTAGGGGATAAAATGGCAGGATCCTTTCGGGTTGCTGTTTTTCTGTAGGGGCCTTAACAATTAGAATGCTGTTTTGGGGCCCACTGTACTTTAACTATAATAAGGAACCCTAAGCAATAATCTAGGTTATTTATTCAGGCTTCTATATTATGTCATTATGTTGCAATAGCTTCCGCTTTGGGGTCGAGCGGGTTGAGGTTTGGGGGTATACAAGCTGCAAGAGTCTGTGCTGTAAGGGTTTAGGGGAGGACTTTGATCATTGCTGGGTTCTCGTTTAGAGTCGCTTGGATGGTGCGGGATGGTTTGTTTTGTTTTTGTTTTGTGCTTTTATCTTCGGGTTCACACACGCTTGAATCGGTAGAGAATGGAGCTTATCGGTGGATGATGCCGGGGTGCTTCGTCAATGGGGTCAGTTGTCCGGTACTGTCTAAGCCTATTGTATTATCCATAATATAGAAGCTTAATAATTACCAATACTATTTTGGGTGGTTCCTTATGATAACTATAGTATTGTCTAATACCCCAAAACCCTATTCTAATTATCTGGCCTCATATCCCTCAGAGGCCCTCCAGCGACACGCCTCTTTGCAGCTGCAACCGGATCCTTCAAGAGCGCCACTTCATGAAGGCCTCTCAAGAAGGTTTAGGGTTTAGGGTTTGCCGTAATTTTGGGCGGCCTTAATACCTAGAATAGGGTTTGGGGGTATATTATACTATAGTTATAATAAGGAAGCCCAAAAAGCCGATTAAAATAATTAAGGCCCCTACACCCTAAACCCTTATAGTAGCTCTTATGGAACCCTTTAAAGGAACCCCCCCAAAAAAAAAAAAAACCTCTTAAAATTATTAAGGCCCCTACATGATGGTGAGTTCAGGTTTGGGATTGTTGGTTTCAGAGCATCTTTGTAGGGTAGGTTCTACACCTTTATGTTTCTGGGTAACTCTCTAAATTAGGGTCCCTGTTTTAGGTTCCCCAATATAGTACGGCACCCAACAAAAAGGCCCTACAAGGAACCCTAAATTGCAGAACTACCCTTCTGGGTTTACAAGGCTTTCGCAATCGTTTTTCAGTCTACTGCTCAGGTCTGTAGGGCTCCATGTGTTTCATCTATGTTTGGATTGTGCAGCCCATGTTTTTATTCTACAAAGTTGTTAAGGGATTCTATACATGGGTAGTTCTCAAAAGTCGGGTCCCTTTTTCGGTCCCCAAAATAGTACGGCACTCTTATAAAAGGGACCCCAAAAGGGACCCTAATTTAGAAAACTACCCAAATGTTGTTGCCAGGCCGTGATGGGTCTCAGTTTCAGGGTTTTTGTTTTGGGTTGACTTAACCCAGACACTCCAATATTCCTTAATTAAGGAATATTCCTTAAATTATAGTAGGATCCTTAATATGATTTAAGGTATACTTCTTAATTAAGGGATATTGGAGTCTCTGGGAAGTTCACGAAGACATCCCTTGGTGTCCCGAGGATGGTCGGATGTAATAGGGTTTAGGGTTTTTCTGTCGAAGCTGACGTATTTATCGCGGGCCGACATTACGATTTTCGAGAATCGACGTTCCAGCTCCAGGAACAGTTTAGGGTTCCTGAGGTTCAGGGCGTGGGGTTTTGAGGTGTCGGTTTTGGGTTTAAGCTTCAGAGTTTCTTACCATCCATTGTAGGTCCTTGGTTGGTCGGAAACCTTGTTGCCTGACGAAAGGATCCACGCCAGACAACCGTTAGCAAAAACCGACCTACGTTGGAGTACTTCCTTTCTTCGGGTTCAGCTTAAGAGTTCATGCGGAGGACGGGGCAAGTGGCGGCTGCAGGTGTTACTGGAGGCCCCTTGCGAAACAACACTGCCACTCCCGACCCACCACCCTTTGTCCGATCGTCGTTCTGCGATCACCATCTTCGCTTTTTTTCCAATGCACAGGCAGCTGTATGCTACCTCAGTTGCCATCAGTATTTCCGTTCATCTTAAGTTTCGGATCATTAGGACCTTCCGCCGCCGTCATCATCGGATGGTTAAAAATTGTGAGTCTTTGCTCCCGGTCGATATGACGCGACACCCTTAACATGTTGAGCGGCATGTACATCGATTGGAAAATCAAGAGAGGACACCCTTCAGTGGATCAAAACTGGCTTGCGATGTGGTCACCGACCCGCACGTGTATGTGCCTGGGTGTCTGTCCGTCCGTGTGTCTCTGTGCATGCATGCATGCATGCATGTAGGTAGGTACGTATGTATGCAGGTATGTAGTGTATGGGGCGGCGTTTAAAAACCCACGCCCCGGACTTTTCGAATCACCATACAAGGCAGACAAACCCTTAGCCCAAAACCGTAAACCTTAAACCTTAAACCCTAAACCCTAAATCTTAAACCCCAAACCCTAAAACTTGAACCCTAAACCCTGAACCCAAAACCCTAAACCCAAACCCCTAAACCCAGGGGCTGCCGTCCTGTGACCAGATGTGGGCCGCGAGGCACAGGAGTTCAGAAGAGTTTAATCATCCTAGGTAGTATTGGGGAGACAGGGTTTAGGGTTTAGGTGTTTAGGGCTTAGGGGTTAAATGGAGACCCTTCCTAACCCTACTTTATGGCTCTCTTCAAAGGGACCTTATTGAGAGGATCCATATCCCCACGGTTGCCCCCCATCCTAACTCACATTCTGCTCCTAGCAGGTATGGGGCCTAAATACTTGCCAATACTATTCCAATAGTATTTTGGATCCCTTTTTAAGTAGCTATACTACACTTGTACAGAATTATATAGTAGAATATACCCCCAAACCCTACAGAAAGGGCTGCCGTCAAACCCTACGCATGCTCTAGTTATTAAGGCCCATACTCGCTTAGTATTTTGACTACAGCTTGAACCTGCAGGTTCTGCTTTCGCTTAAAAAATTTCTAAGAATAATATTCGGATTCCCCTATTCTTACAGGGGCCGATTAAAACAAAAACTAAGAATAATATTCGGATTCCCCTATTCTTACAGGGGCCGGGCGGCCCCTCCTGAGTGGTAGAGGGCATGATCTCTGCTGTCCTTTTGTTGTAGGAACTCGCTGTTGCACTTGCTCCTGCTTTGCCTCCTGCTCGCTAAACCACCAATAGGGGTTGAAAGGCGAGGATGTTATTTAGGTGGATTTTTTCGGAAGGTGTTCTCACTATAAGGGGGTGTCCAACAAGTGCAAAAGGCAAGGTGGGAAGTTTGCTGTTTACTGCTTAGCGTCCGTTGCCTCAGGTTTAGCATTTCTGTCTGTCATGGCATGCCTTTTTCCCTAACCCCCCCCCCCCCCCCCACATCCTCTCAGCCCTAAGCCCGCAAGAGGACCGGGACCGCTATGTAAGCATCGCCAGTATAGCTCCATATAGGCCTTGCAGACATACCCTAGCCATAGATCCCAAAGAGCAACTGCGATCTGCGAAACATCCGACAGGAGGCGAGCTCCAGACCGGAAACCCCGAAATCCCAGTGACTGAGTGGGAGCTACGGAAATAAAAGGGGACCCCCAATAGTTCGATTGATACAAATACTAGTGCTGACCGGCTTACAGTTGCCCTCGGAAACGTCGGCATCCTGAAGCGAACACAGCGAAGAACGAGATTCGATGTCTTGCAATCCCCCGGGCTTGAGGATTTCGAGGTTAGGGTTTGGGGTTTACGGTGCAGGGTTTACGAGGTAGGGTTCAGGGTTTACGTGGACCCTTAACCTAAGAAACTCTCTTTTTGGGGATCCTTCTTATGACTTCCCTGCAGGTCCTCAAAAGGGTAGGTTCTTTGGGGTCTAGACAGGGTTTAGTCAGTGACTTCACGATTCCAGGGAGACGCGATCTGTGACTGGCTCAGAGATCCCAGCACAGCTGGCAGCCAACAGCCGCTCGGCTTCACAGCCGGTCTCTTATTTCGATTTGTCTGGGAGTGATGTAGTATAGGGGCCTTATAGTTACTTATAATTATCTACGCTATGTTGGTGTTCCTTGTTAATTTTATTATGGTTATAGTATAATATACCCCAAGACCTTATTCTAAAGATTAGGGCGCCCACTATCAGGTTTTGACGACGGTCCTATCAGGTCGAATGGGTCTCGATGGCGTTGTAGAGATATGAGAGCGTCAGGAACTAGGGTTGATAATAAAAATCCTGCATTACCTGAAGGACCCTAAACTATGGGGAAGTATGGCATCTTCCTTATTACGGTAATGCAGGACCCTAAACCCTAAACCCTAAACCCCATCAACTGTAGGGGACCCTTTGGGTTTGGGGTTTCGGGACCCCAGGGTCCTTGCTGTCATGACCCCGAGCTTTCTGAAGCCCCCCTGGTACCGGAAACCTTGAAACCCTAGGACTCCTTAAGAACCCTTGAAGGAACCCTTCACGGAAACCCTACCTTAAGCCCAAATAACCTACCTTTTTAAAGACTTGTATAAAGAAATCATAATACGGAACCCGAAAAAGGTAGGTTTTCTGGGTTCCAGGTAGACCCGAAACTCTCCAAGAGTCCTTAAAGGAAGCTTTAAGCCTAAACCCTAAACCCTCTATGAGCCCGTTATGTAAAGGAGGTCTGATAGGTCTATGGGCTGGGGATAAGTTCGGGCTTCAGAAGGTGGCATCCGCACCACGGTTTAGGGTTTAGGGTTTAGGGTTTAGGGTTTGTCCCTCTTGTAAGGCCTCATGGGTAGTTCTCTCAATTAGGGTTCCTTTCAGCTCTAATTCCTAAATTGCACCTGAACCCTGTCCCCTAAACCTAAAATCTGAACCCTAAACCCTAAACCCTGAACCCTAAACCCTAAACCCTGACTATGATTGCAGGGCCCTGGCCCGAAATTGCACGTAAACCCTGTCCCCTAAACCCTAAACCCTAAACCCTGGCCCTAAACTCTAAACCCTAAACCCTAAACCCTGAACCCTGTCCCCTAAACCCTAAAGCCTAAACCCTGGCCCTAAACCCTCACTCTCCGAGGCTTGATTGGCCTGCTGCCCCCTCCGGGGGGACACCTGCGCCTGCGGCCTGTGGGCGCCGAGGTGCTGGGCCCTGCAATCAGAGTTTTAGGGTTCAGGGTTCAGGGTTTGGGTTTTAGGGTTTAGGGTTCAGGGTTCAGGGTTTAGGGGTTCAGGGTTCAGGGTTTAGGGTTTAGGGTTTAGGTTTGAGGGCTCAGGGTTTGGAGTTTAGTCACCCTAACTCCTCTACACGCTAAACCCTAAGCCACTCTAAAAGTCCAAAACATCTGTTACTTTTGAACACAATACTGTAGTAGGTACTACTTGTGTACTTGGACCTTGGCAGCACTTCAAGTTCACCGCATTCGGGAGGACTTGTTGTAGCAGGCTCATTCGCAAGTAGAGGTTCAAAGATCTACTGTAAAGCCTTCCCATAGGCCCCATAGTAGTTCCTTTCGGGATTACCTAATAGGATCCCAAATATAAGCCGCAAAAAGGAACTACTATGGGGCCTATGGGTTATGACATGGCTGAGCATTGTAGTTCTGTTCAAGCCTCCGGGTGTCTCATGTTGCCAGGAGGCGCTGTACAGGATTTCTGAAAGACTTACATAGGAGCTTGCAGGCCTGTATACATCCCTCTACACATATCTGCAGACATGTAGAGATGCTTGCACCTGCACCTACACTAAGCACATTCGCGCAGTAGAGTGCGATTCAATGAAGTCTGACGAAATGTAATGTATTTTAATGCAATGTCACGCAACAATCGTGTATCGTACTGCTATGTAATGTACTGATGCACCGTACTGGAATTCACCGCAATTATATGTAGTGCAAGGGCAACGCTGCGCCAATGCTTGAACTGGAGTAAAATGAAGACATCTTAGGGCTAAAGAGAAACCCCTAAACCCTAAACCCTGTACAGAGTCTACAGCCTTCGGTGTCTTAAGGATTTAGGGTTTAGGCATGAATGCCCAGGCTCCTGAACGAGTTCTTCCTAAACCCTAAGGCCCCTATCCCCACGCCCTAAACTCCGAAACCCTAAACCCTAAACCCTAAACTCCGAAACCCCTAAACCCTAAACCCTAAACCCTACACCCCAAGTTCCCCAAACCCCTCAACCCTAAGTTCCCTGAACCCCTAAGCCCTATACCCCAAGTTCCTGAAACCCTTATACGCCCTAAACCCGAAGATCCCTAAGCCCTAAGCCCTATAGCCCAAGATCCCTAAACCCCTAAAAGCTAAACCTCTGGTATAGGGTTTAGGGGTTTAGGGAACCCTAAACCCTAAACCCTAAACCCTAAACCCCACCACCCCTGAGCCCCAAGTTGCAGGAGTGGGCGCCGGAGCTGCCCTTGAGCGACTCGCCTCAGGTGCAGCCGCGGCTTTGACTGCCTTGCACTGGCAGGGTTCCTATTATAAAGCTTCCTCTAAGGGCTCCTAGAAGTTAGGGTTTAGGGTTTAGGGTTCCCGCAAGGCTTCCTGCAAGGGTTTTTATATTGTGAGGCTTGTGTTCATGGCTTTTTAACGCTGTCATGAGGTTGGTACAGTTTTCTTGGGTTGCCTTTCGGGTTTCGGGCTGGCTTCCCCCGAAGAACTCGTGCATGTTCGCAGGGCTTCAGAGGGTTCAGGAACCCTAAACCCTAAACCCTAAAGCGTCTTTACGGGGTTTAAGGTCCAGGGCTTCCAGCGCACTGGACCATGGGAAGACAAATATCCAAAGCAAGCTGCATGGCACCTACATAAACAGTTTCCAAACCTCCTAAACCCTAAACCCTAAGCCCTAAACTCAAAACCACCTGCCGTGAAGCCTTGAGCGCCAAGTTCAAAACATCATAAACCGTGAAAGCGAGGCCTCGCTGTGCTAAAAACTCTTCGTCCCTATCCTTTTTCCCGTGGTTTCTGACTATCGGATCGGTCTTTAAGTCGCTCTTGTAACGAGAGGTTCCAATCAGAATCCTATCTGGAGAACTGCCTGCAACCTTGAACCGCCTAAGCCCGAACCCGTAGATTTTGAACCCCAAACTCTCAAACTCCTTACCACCGTTTCCCTTAACCGTAAACCCTCTACCCACATAATGGGACTTTCAGGAACTGAGGAACCCGTACATAGGATCCTGAATATTAGGACCCCCTTTTGGTCGAGGGGTGATG